ACGATGTCACAATAATAATATAATATAAACGAGCAATTACTTACGTAATATTATTAGCCTATTATAAATCAGGTTGTAAAGTTAAAATTTAGATATTTAGATTTTTTTTTAGAAACAACTGGGAAAAAATGTTCTAGAACGTTGATATGGGGGGTGTAAATAGACTAACCAAAGGGCTAATATAACTAATATATTTCATAGGAAAGACACGCATCAGCAGTGTCTGATAATATGAAACTAATATGAATCAAAAGAGCATATTTCCTTGGATCTGCTTCCAACCAACATCACTAACACGAAAGAGCTCTATTGTGAACAGTAAGATCAAAGAACTTCGTTCAAAAATTGACCAAGTCCGATGTAGTCAAGACAATGCGCCAGAACACGAGCGAGTCTTACAGAAGCTAGCCAGTCTGGGCTGAAAAGTTCGTTTATCCGACCCTTTACAGCCCAGAATTAGCAACAACGATTACCCTCTAATTTCGCACCTTGAAGAACCAGATTGCCAATATACAGTTTAATGACAATATCCGACGCTCGAGATTTTCTTCAAAGAAAACCTCCATTCTACGCTCACCGGATTGAAAACTTGTATCAAAGGTGACGAAATGTGATTGATACTGATGATTACAGGGGAGATTTGCTAATTATGACTCAAATTCACGATTGGATATCTTTCGTTCTACTTGTCGAATATAAATCAAATTTTGAAAACTGATAGATGTCGCATTTTTTTGCATTCTAAAAATGTTTGAGTTCGATTGTTTTAAAAATGGAGGCAGCAATTTGCGAGCGAAGTTGACGTGCGCATCTAGCTTCTTTCTAAAGGAGGTCTTTCATCCCGCGCTGTTGTAAAAGCCCTCAAGAAGAATGGAATTGAAGTTTCGCAGATGTATCCATTTCGTTTTTACAATCTGATATATTATACAGGATAAATCAAACGATCCTTGAACTCTTTTCGTTCCAAAGATACTGAAGATATATTAATTACTTTCCCGGCTGTTATATATAACAGAGGCCAGAGTCCAAAAGTATGGCGATCAGCAAAAAAATTAACCCCAAGATTTTTACATTTTTGGACTCAAGGAATCTTGAAACGTCGAGAAATGCAAAAAAAAAAAAAAAAAAAAATTCGGGGATATTTTTTCTGTATATATGGGTGTATGTGTGGGAGGCACGATTTTTGTTCACCCTCTTTGAAGGTTAATAACTTCTCTGCTTTTTGTCACAATTTTCTGAAATTTTGCAGAGAGGTTTTTTATTAGGGGGATTGATGCTATTAAATTTTGGTGGTTAAAAGTCGAGAGGATGTGAAGATAAGGGTGGTCGCGCGTATCTCCAGTAGGATCAGACTTAATGACGAATTTACTCGTTGTTAGCATTTACAACTTTTTATAAAACTCAAACTCTATTCTCAAAATTAAGCCTTTTGTCGTTTTATAATAGTTAAAAATATAAAACATTTTAAAATAAAATACAGATGGTGCGACCGAACGTTGCCAGGAAAGTTAAGCAACTTGTTGCTGGATGTTTTTGTTGACCTTGAAAATGATTTTCAACTTTACTTATGTTTTAACTTTTTAATTAGCAAATACAACGTAAAAAATCGAATGACAAAATTAAACATTATTTTCTAGATTCAAATAGCTTTAATACATTTAGGACTGCATAATGTGTAACTTTAAATTTACGAAGAATAATAATAGTGTCCTTGAAAAACCACGTAAAACGAAATAAAAATGTATTCTATATTAATTTTTTAAAAATAATCTGTTAAGGATTGATAATAAACAAATCTTTATAAGTGAAAAGATTAAAACACTTTTATTTTTTATACAAAGAAAATTACATTTATATTATTTTCTGTGCTATTAATTCTTACTGTTTATTTTCGATAAAATTTAGATAGAAATTTTATCGAAATAGGAAGTTAGAAATGTGTAATAGAAAGTTAGATTCCTAGTCCTGGATAATTTTTCGATTCCGTTTATAAACATAAGGTTATCCATAAATATTCTTTCCGATTTTAAATTAATATATGCGTAGTTAGTTTACGTCAATGGCGCATTATAACTTCATGGGACCTAGGCGAATTCGAGTTAGGGGGCTGCATGTATACAGTGTTGGCTTCAGACATTTTTCTTCGGGGGAATTTTTTTGGGAAAATATTTTCTTAAAAAAGATTGGTTTGGGTTCCACCTGCTAGTAAGGACCCCAGGCAATTGCCCTTTTTGTTCATGGGATAATGTGCCACTGGTTTACGTGCTTTGACAAAAACTATATAAAAGAACACCCTTCAAAATTTATGTTTTTGTGGTATTATTTCAGTAAAAGCTACTTGTATACGGGTCATTCTTCTTTATCGATTTTACAGTGACAGGAATCATCTACTCGGTCAGCCTGCTCTGTGATGATTACTACATGGCTGGAGGAGGACAATCCAAAATTGCTTTCTAAGCAAGACGGTAAAACGCCGCATTTCCACAATGATAATAGATCGTACATCGTACTTTATCCAATATCTTTCTCAGCATTAGATTTGGATCGGGCACGGAGGTTCTATGAAATGATTGACAGATCGTCTGATATGACATCATTCGAATTCTTTATGTAGGGGTTTTGTAAAGAATAATATTTACTTTTTTCTGCTAATGACGCTGAAGGAGTCGGATCAGACTGCTGTGCTAAAATGAATCATGAAACATTCTAGAACGTGTGGAAATATACTGTAGTACAATACAAACAGTAATAAATAAATCTTATTACAAGCATAAATTTAAAATATCGCGCAAGATACAAGGTCAAAAAACGGCTTGCAAAATTGACCGCTTAGTCAGGAAATCAAAAGATAACAGTGATATTTCATTTAAAAAATTCAGTTGAGTGTTACTTTCTATAAGTAACATTCAGTTTATTTTTTATTATTATAAATGCAGTTTTTCTACAAATTTTACTTAATTTTATCTTATTTATATCAAGTGTTAATTTTTTTTTAATTATTTAATTCATTTGTGTAAACAGAAAGCTGGTTATGTTTGTGATTCTACCCGTTCGCAAAACGCATTTCCTCGAATATCTATATACTTCTATGGAATAATGGTCTGCATTCGCATGAATCTTCGTTTACGCATGTAGCCTATTTCAGAACGCAACACACATGTAAATCACTACTGAAATAGCCTATATACTATATATATAAAATCTCAATTTAGTACCACCATTTGTTTGCTTCTGAAATTAGCACTAAATCGAGTATAGAGCCAAACTGAAGAGGCTCAAACTATACCTGTTATGTATTGTAATGGAGTCTGAACACAAGTTTGAGTTTAGAATTTCAAAGTCACGTATTTTGACGATAACAATGTCGTTTAGTAATAGTTTCGTTAATGATGCTTTCAAGTTTGTTTTTGTTAACATTATTCCCATTGTCGGCATCAAAAGGATTTTTCACATAACTCTATTGTGGGTTCTGTCAGGCCCACAATAGAGCGTAGTAAAGGGACGGGGCACCAGTTATAGCTTGATGTCTTCGCCTCAGCCAAAAGAGTGATTTAATTTTTTCGGTTTCTAGAAGATATTTTATATTTTCTTATATTTATACATGTTATATAATGATAGACAGCACGAGGTATGTTTACGGAGCACCGGAGTCCTATATGTGAATTTCTATAGGGAGAATGATCACTCGGTTTATGTATGTATACTGGAAGCTTACATTAGTATCTCATTTTATTATTAGGGAAATAGTGGCACAGAGATCATAGTAGTAGTACTGCAGCAGTGGGAAAAGATTTACAAATGCATACATGTAACAATTTTTTGAATCTCTAAAACCTGCACGAAACATAAAAAGGATACAACTAAGCAACTCTATACACAAAAAGAGATAATCTAAGTATGTTTATCTTAAGCATGCCTAAATATTGCTAGCATTGCTGTCCACCAGCCAAGTAGTAGACAAAAGAACAAAGAGAAAGGAAAGAGCGTTATTTAAAAGTAAAAAAAAAACAAAAAAGGCAGCTGATCGTATGTGCTCCATGCGATATCGTACAATTTAGGCTGTGTACACATTAGGCGTTTTGAAACGCGCGCTTTGGTAACGCGCGCGTTTTAAAGAATCAAGAGTTCCGCATAGATATACACACTCAAACGCGCACTTTTGGCCAAGCGCGCGTTAATAGATTTTTGTTAGAACGCGCGTTTCGCGGGCGTCAGCCGCGCGTTTTGAGATACATGTGCTGCCATGTTATTGTACAGTACATTCGATCGCGCGTTTTCGGGTAGAGTGGACGCACGTTGGCCGAAATGGAGAACGATCATTTCGATACTGATCTATTTATTGATGAAATCTAAAAGAGACTAGCCATCGTCAAATGATTTTATAGATATTCTAAAAGAATTAAAAAACTTGGGTTCGTATTGTCTTAGTTTTGGATACAACGTCACAAACATTCCATGAGTCAGTCTATCTCGTAATATTGGGTGCACCCAAAAATCCCTTTGCCTCTGCCATCGTCTTTTATAGCGACAATGGTGAAGGCACACACAAGCAATTACTTTCACGTCCATTTCCAAATTGAGCCAATGCAAACGGTCGTCGAACGCCAAGCTAAACGCGCGTTTAACGCAACGCAAAACACCTAATGTGTACACAACCTTAGACATCTACAAGAGGGGGGGAAGAAACTGTCTCTTATTGGAATATTTTCATTTCTACAGAGTTGAGGATACGAAAGGGAAAAATCCCTTTTCAAATCACACTTTACACAGCACAATATTCATATCACTGATATTAAATATTTGTATATTGAGCGCACATGACCGAGAAGCAAGTTAACAAAGGAAATAATTATATCCATTCCAACGATTAACTTATAAAATATTACTTTCGGCTATAATTGTAACATTAAAAAAATAATAAAATGCTCAAAAATAGATAATTATAAATAATTTATTTTGAATTCAACTTTCTCGAAGCGACTTCAAACGAGTAAATATAAATATATTGTTGCTATGGAAACAGGAAGCGTGGCATGACGAAAAAAGTATTACAAGTCAGTCGGAAACAAGGAAGATGTAAAGGAAAAGGATTTAACTTTGTTTAAAAAGTATAAGATTAATTATAAAAAAAAATGAATCAGCAAGCTTCTTATACACAGTTAAATACTTTTAATACAGAGTTATATGCGTTTGATAGAAATGATCAATTCAATCCATTGATTACGCAAAAAAGGTAAATTAAATTTTCTTTCCGGCATCATTTCATCTTTTAATACTTTTCTATGAAATATGTTTACGGTAAATATCATTTGAAATTTTATAAATTGAAATCAAATTATAAATTAAACATAAAAGAAAGGTAAAATTCAACTTTCCTAATACTTTAATATAAATCCAATGAAGCAATGTCAATTTGCTTTATTAATGATTTCATATTATTATATATTAAAAGATTATTTTAATAATAATACAAATACATATAAAAAAATAATTATTATTTATCATACACACACTGAATCAAGAAATATATATGATTCTTACTGAAATGCTATTGGAAAAAAGGCAAAAATTTCCAAGTCAGTGTTGTGCAATACGATTAAGTGTATATTTAATTTTCAAATGTTTTTTATAATCATCTGCTATAAATTATAAATAATAGTAATAAATTCCTGAAAATAAACTTTTTCACATTTCTGAGAGATGATGAATCAAAATTTTTTGTAATTTTTTAATTTGTGATTATGTAAATTTCTACATTTTCTAACAATCTAATGTCTTTAAATGATTTAGCATTTCTTAAAAGTTCTATGGTCTTTTATTTATTGCGTATGTATTTGTGTATTGTACATAAATATGTAAATATATATAGATAGAAATATAAATATACAATCATAATAATATATATATATATATGCATATGTATATAATTTTAATATATTAGTTTTTAAAAAGATACATTTAACAGTAATATAGTAAAGGAAACATATTTTATAAGCATTATTGCAATGCTAATGAAATATGCTTCCTTTACTTAGAATATAAAATCTAGGATGAGAAATTGATCGTATAACTTTGAAATATGCACCAGATTATTTTCAACAGAACTAAAAATTTATTAANATAATACGTTGCGTTTAGAAATGTTGAGTTTTTCTATTCTGTCGGCCAGGTAAACGGGGACAAATATCAATTTAGGGCACTCCTATCTTGGCTAATTAACTGAACTGGCCAGTGGTCACCAAGATGGAACTTTATTTTAGGTTAAAACGTATGCAGATTTATGGGGAAATTTTAAAGGTGGCCATAAATAAGTTTTATTCTTAACATTCCTAATATAAAAACAAAAAATAAACTTTTTGATTTTATCTTAAAAAGGAGCATTTGATTTAAACAGATATAAAAACTTTAGAATTATAATTTTGAGTAAACTGTACACTTATAATAAAACTACGTATTAATTATTAATCTGAATTCTTTTTAATACTAAGGCTAGGTTTTACTATAATTAATGTTCATATCTTTAAGATACAGTAAACTTTTGTTAATTTAAGGTTGGATATGGATAATTCATTCCTCACAGACATTAGATATCAATGCATTAGAAAATTACTATATATCACTTGCATTAATTTGAAATTTTGACCCTCTTGGATAATTCAAACTAAAATAAAGTGTGCATTACAAATAATATTTATTATAAGCATGAAAGAGATAGCTTGACCAAATGGCATGATAGTTGACAGCTAGCAATCTTTAGCATGTATATTTTCCATGTTTTAATCTGCAATGAAAATTTTTCTAGACTGTTAATGCCATAATTATTCCAGTGCTCTAATATCATTCTGTAAAGAGCTTTTATTTTGTTTTAATAAACTTGCTAATAGAATAGTGAATCATTTTTTATATTTAATTTTTATGATTCAATAAAAAATGTATTTTTCTTTACACTTATAAAAAGCTTAATGCATCTTAAATTTACTACTTTGTTAGACATGTCTAACAATTCAAAATACTCGATAATTTGAAATTTTCTTGGGATTCCTTGGAATTTAAATTGAAAGTTTACTGCAGTTTAAATTAAAAATTTAGCAATGAAAATATTATATTTTCTGTACTTCTGTGTACTTTTAAGATATATATCAATAATAAAACAAATACAATAATATAAATGTTGAAATTTTAACAAATTTAGTTATTAATGAAAATAAATTATTCTGTTTTGTTATTAAATTCAAATTTATATTCAAGTTTGAAGCTATTATATTTCTTATTATATTTTGTTTCTGAAAAAATTTATGTAATGGGATTTCCAAACTGTGACTTTTTAGAATGGATATAACTAATTAAGAGGTAATTTGGACTGCTTAAAATCTCAGAGCTGTAATTTTTTTTATTTTCTTCTGTATTTGTTATGAAATATTACAGATACAAAATGTTCATTTTCTAAAAAAATTACTACTAGTTTGCATATATGGTGACTGAACAATGAGAATTGTTTGCACTAACAACTGTTATTATATACCAGTTATCAATACTTTTTATGCTATCTGTTGGTATGACACCATACCAAGCATGTATAGTGGTGCATTCTGGCTCGAAAACAGTCTTATATATATACAACTACTGGTATATTTTGTAGTTATAATACTGTTTTGACTGATTCTACAATTGATAATAAATGTTTTGATATCTTCACTTTGATATAACTCTTCCTTAATATTGATATAAATGTTGAAGCTACTGTATTAATATCACCCAAATGACGTAACAAATGAAGATGTAAACATATTACAACAGATATAAAGACTTTATATATTTGTATGTTTGCCAAGTGTGAGCAGTACATAAAAGAAACTGTTTTTAATTTTATATAAAATTTAAAAATGCTCATGTTTCATATGAAGTTGTACTATATGGTAATGCAAACAAACAGAGACATTAGCAGAAGCCTTGGGAAGAGTTGTCTTTTCTTTGTAAGGACTCAGCTCTGTAGAATTAGTTCACTTAAAGATAGGTATGCTGTATCTGTAAAGCATTGAAGCTCTTGCAGTGTCCAGCGTGCTTCAATCTGAAGGAGAAAGTGTGATTTTTGTGCCATACTGTAACCATATCCACAGCAGGTCTCCAAGGTAAACAGCCTCTAATTAACAGAACAATGTACATGAGGGAAGTCTGCAAGACTTGTCTTACCTGTTAACTTCAAAACAAGTATTGACTCAGAGAATTGGGCCAATTGGATTGATGTCCAAAGTGAGTGCAGCACTGAATAAAGACTAGAGGAGACTGTCTCTCTTTAATATGTTCAGTTAAGCCTGGACCAATGTTGGGACCTTTCCATGGAATGCCTCAACAACTACACACTGCTTTGATGATGTATGCAACTGTTTCAGCCAGAAACTAATATCCAACTCAGAAATGGCACCTGATCTCCAGACCAAGCCAGAGATTATTTAAGAGCCAACATACGCCATTTTATTTCAATTTTAAAATTTTTATTGAAAGTGAAAATTATAGGCAAACAAAATTCTTTGATAAATTTTCAAATTTTTTCATATAGTATATAATAGGTATCATCAGAATTTGAAAATTTTATTAATACAGTGAACTCTCATAATATCATGCTCCCTGATAATACAAATTCATATAATGCAATGAAAAAATTGTGGCTAGTAATCATACAAAATTTTAATTTTGTCCAGGGGTATATGACATTTTTTCTTCAACTTCTAGGTCTAGGTTTAAACTTGCATAAAATCATCATATAATGCAGAACATATTCTCTCCATTGTATAGGACTCTGCTGTACTACTGTTTTTTTTCACAGAAATAGCTTCAGTTTTATAAAAGATGTAAATATTATCTAAAATTTAGATGATTAATATTTATTGAAATTATATGAAATTTGAAAATCTTTTTTTCTAAACAAATATTATGGATTACAAATAAAACATAGAGAATATTTAATTAAACATAGAGAAGTATTAGATACTTAATTAACAGAATGAACTAAATAATTATTATTTATGAGAAAATAATTTTATTTAAATAACAATAAAACTATACTCATTAGTATATTTATAATTAGATCATTAAAACTAGTTAATAATTTACATTTGTTCTTAGGAGCTTTCCTAAGGACAGTTATTTCAGAATTGTTTAATTTGATGAATTTAATATCATCATGACAAATGTTTTCAGCAAGTACAAGTCTTAGTATATCCAAAGTCAAAGTCTCATGCTGATATAATGTCAGGAGACTATTGATGTCTTAATATATAAAAATATTAAATTTGTTATTTGATTTCTAATTTGAATCTAAAATATAATTTTTTGTTTTTTTAAGAAACTGTAATTTACAAATCAGCTTAAATTTTATAAGTAATATACTGTTTTTTTTTTATAAGCATTGCATTTATAAATGAGTACTTTGAGATGATTGAATTGGAAAGACAGCTTCTTTGGATCTAACTTAACAAAAGAACATTCTAAAGATTATTTTGGATGTTATATAATTTTTAATTAAATTTTCTAATTCTTAATAAACACTGATGGTGGAATTCTTGCAATGAATTATATAATGTGATGTAATTTACTAATGTGAAAGATTTCTAATGAAACAATTTATAATACAAGAAAATAAAATTATCTAAAGTCTACAAGCATATTTTTGTCTTTAAATATTTTTGAATATTTCTATAATATAATTTTTCTATATTTTATTGAAATTTCTAATATTTGTAAAAATATATTCAATATTTATAAAAAATTATTGTACTTTTGCATTAGGTTTAAAATAAAAATAATTATAGACACACAATTATACAGACTATGTCTGTGTAATTTCTGTTAGTAATTATCTTAATTTAAAAATTAATTTAAATAAACTTACACTTAATTTTTCCAATGACTTGATTACATTTGTTCTTTGCTACTATAATTACGTTTTATTTAAAATAAAAATAGTTTCTTATTTTCCTGAGTGCAATGTTGGAAATGATAATGATTGTTCAGAATTTTAGGACTTTTGACTTCTCTATCAACAAGATAGCTTATCAGATATGAAACAATACGTAAAGCTTTTTATTTTAAAAGTTCTCCGATTAATTTAGTTATAGGCAAGATCATGACTGAAAAAACTCGTTTAATTCATAGACCAAATTCAAGAAATTCTTCCAATAATTATGGCAGTATTAAATACGAAAAGTTGGAAACGGTCACTCCTAGGTATGTTCG